TACAGAGATAGGGAGGGGGTGTAGGGGGCTGGGGGAGGTTACAGAGCTAGGGAGGGGTGTAGAGGGCTGGAGGAGTTTACAGAGATTGGGGGGGGGGGGGGGTGAAGCAGATTTTTGCAATGAGCAGACACCAGAGGGGGTCGGGAGATCCGAAGACAGCGTGGTGGGTGACAGACACACCGATCGGGTGAACGGAGAGGAACGGATTCGCTGGGGGAAGCTGGCTGCGGTGAGCGGTATCACACAGTCTCTTGGCGCCAGTCGGAGCCGCGCTGCACTCGGACCTACCTCCTTTTGCTTCAGCAGGTGAGCGGTCAGCCTGGAGGTCACCAATCCTGTCACCACCTGCTTGATGCCAGATAGCAGCTCGCTAGTAACCACCTCCTGCCACTCTGCAGGCTTACCCTCCATACAAGGCAGGCACGTATATACAATGTTGTCGGGCAGGTTTGATAGGATCTCGTACATCTCATCTGGAGGCAGCAACGACACACCACAGTCAGCACCTCTCAAACACACCCCAATCGCTATCACCGCACGGCAGAGTCCATTCTGCCCACCCAGCCCCCGTGCCAGCTCCATGAAGGATTCCCTGAATCAGACCCCACTCTCCCCTCACAGAGTTCCAGATCGCAACAACAACTCACTGGCTCAAAACACAGATTCTCCTCCTCTGGTCCGTTTAGAGTCATGCAGCACGGATGCAGTCCTGTTGATCCTGCAAAGTCCTCCTCACTAACATCTGGGGGCTAGTGCCAAAATTGGGAGCGCTGTCTCACAGACTAGTCAATTCGCTCCCCCAAGGGGCATTGGGGGTCAACCTTACAGCACACGGACTGCAGCGGTTCAAGAAGGCACCTCACCCCCACCTTCTCAAGGGGGGCAACTAGGGACGGGGCAATAAATGCTGGGCCGAGCCAGTAACACCCACATCCTACAAATGAATTAAAAAAAAACTGAAGCCCCTCAACCCCAGGAAATCCTCCCCGCACCCTCTGAGACCCTGAGATCCTCCTGAAAGGAGTGTCTGGTGCCTGGGACTGTACTCCAGCTGATGGCTAACTCAGTTTTTATTGCGTGTCATTTCACCCTCCCGTACTGTCAGAAACATAGGAGATTCCCACCCCTTGAAGGGCACTTGACCCATTCCCAGCTTTCCCGCACTTCCCTAACAGCCCCCCAAGGTCAGGGTGGTGAGGAACACAGGGGCAGGATTAGGCCATTCGGCCCATTGAGCCTGCTCTGCCATTCAATACAATCATGGCTGACCACCCACAGCAAGGATCAGGAAGGTGATGGCCTTGTGGTGTTATTGCTGGACTGCTAGTCTAGAGACTCAGGCAATGTTCTGGGGCTCTGGGCTTGAATCCTGCCACGACAGATGGTGGAATTTGACTTCAATAAAATATCTGGAATTAAGAGTCTAACGATAATCATGAATCCATTGGTGATTGTCGGGGAAAAAACCATCCGGTTCACTAATATCCTTTAGGGAAGGAAACTGCCATCCTTACCTGGTCTGGCCTACATGTGACTCCAGACCCACAGCAATGTGGTTGACTGTTAACTGCCCTCTGGGCAATTAGGAATGGGCAATAAATGCTGCCTGGCCAGCGACGTCCTCATCCCGTGAATGAATTTTAAGAAAATTAGTTTTCCCAAATGACCCCTATATCCCTCTATCTGAGGGATTGGGCCAATCTCAAAGAAATGGATAACATTCTAACAGGACTAGACAGGGTCAACAAATAAGGGAGGATGTTCCTGATAATGTTTCTTAGAACCCAGTGCCGGTGACCACGAGGTAGTGGGAAATTGAGAGGTTTGGGCTGGGGGGGTGGGAGTGACTGTGAATCATCACCAGCGGCAAGGCTGCAAAGCAATACAAACAGAACAAGAGAGAGTCTAATTGCCAGGAGTTCCTTTTAATCACTAGCAGGGCCCAGTATTTATTACCCATCCTGAGTCGCCCCGCGAGAAGGTGGTGGAGAGCTGCCTTCTTGAACCGCTGCAGTCCAAAAGGTGCGAGTCCAGAACCAGGGGGTGACAGTCTAAAGGAGATGGGGCAGGAGTGAGATGAGGAAAAATGTCTTCACCCAGAGAGTGGGGGACCCTGTGGGATTCTCTGTCACAGAAAGCGGTCGGAGCTGGAACACTGAATGTTTTCGAGAAGGAATCATTTTATCTGTTATCAGATATCTGTCAATCTCTACAGTACAGGCACTCAAAGACTGAGTTCCCATAGCCCTCTGCAGCAGAAAATTCGCAATCTTGATCCTCGGCAGAATTGTTCTTATTGTAAATTTATGTCCCCGGTTCAAGCAGGGGGAAGCCTCTGACCTGCGTTTACTCTAAGCATTCTGCACATTTCAAGATGCGAGACACATGAGAAAGAGAGAGAGACGGATGTGGGCTTCACTTGGGCTGCTCGAGCCTTTGGCAGCTACACTTCATGAAGAAAGTGGATCAAAATAAAAAAAACTCCTGACCCAACAAGACGCACCCCCCACCCCATCCCCCCAACCAGGCTCTGGTCCCAATCCTTCACCCCCTCTGCATCAACCATGGATGGGAACAGCATCCAGAAAACTGAGTGAGCCCAGTATATTTAAAAAAAACCGAAAGAACTGCGGACGCTGTAAATCAAAAAAAGACAGGAATTGCTGGATAAAGCTCAGCACACACCTGTGGAGAGAAATCAGAGTTAACGTTTCGGGTCAAGGACCCTTCCTTAAAACCTAGTACTGGCGACCATGAGGTAGTGGGAAATTGAGGAGGGGAAGATTGTGAATCATCGCCAGCGGCCAGGCTGCAAAGCAATACGAATAGAACAAGAGAGAATCTAATCGCCAGGAGTTCTTTTTAATCACTAACAGGGCCCAGGATTTATTGCCCATCCCGAGTTGCCCCTTGGGAAGGTGGTGGAGAGCTGCCTTCTTGAACCACTGCAGCCCACAAGCTGTAGGGACACCTCACAGCGCCGTCAGGTAGAGTCTCTCAGGATTTTGACCCAGTGGCACAGAAGGCAGAATCACAGGAGCCAAAGCGCAGACAGAACACTCAGCCTGGCGTTTACGGGGGGTGGGGGAATACGACAAGACTCCAAGCACGCCACGCCTCACCACTCACCGGAAATACCTTCACATTTGGCATGAACCCAGTGGTCGCATTTGGAACACTGCATCATCTTACTCTCATAATCGTTATCTTCGTAGCATTTCGTACAAATCGGACAATAATTTCCTGTGAAACAACAGAGGCCACAACACTCTCAGCACACAGTATCCAGCAATGTATCGGCCCACACAGGGTTAGGTACAGAGTAAAGCTCTCTCTACACTGTCGCCCCGTCGCACCCCCACCCCCCCCCCCCCATCCCACATCAAACACTCCCAGGGACAGGGACAGCACTGGGTTCGATACAGAGTAAAGCTTCCTCTACACTGTCCCCCATCAAACACTCCCAGGGACAGGGACAGCACAGGGTCAGATACAGAGTAAAGCTCCCTCTACACTGTCCCCCATCAAACACTCCCAGGGACAGGGACAGGGACAGCACGGGGTCAGATACAGAGTGAAGCTTCCTCTACACTGTTCCCCCCCTGCTCCACCCCCCATCAAACACCCCCAGGACAGGAACAGCACGGGGTTAGATACAGAGTAAAGCTCCCACTACACTGTCGACCCCCCATCAAACACTACCAGGACAGGGACAGCACGGGGTTAGATACAGAGTAAAGCTCCCTCTACACTGTCCCCCATCAAACACTCCCAGGGACAGGGACAGCATGGGGTCAGATAGAGAGTAAAGCTCCCCCTACACTGTCCCCCATCAAACACTCCCAGGGA